GTGTGTGTGTGTGTGTGTGTGTGTGTGTGTGTGTGTGTGTGTGTGTGTACCGACAGAGAGAGAGAGAGAGACAAAGAAAGAAAGACAGGTCTCATTTTGTCACTCAGGCTGGAGTGCAGTGGAGTGATCATAGCTTACTGCAGCCTCAAATTTCTGTAGCTGAGACTCCAAGGGTATGTCACCACATCCAACTAATTTCTCTTACTTTTAGTAGAGATAAGATCTTGCTGTGTTGCCCAGGCTGGTCTCAAACTCTTGGTCTCCAGCAATCCTCCTGCCCTGGCCTCCCAAAGTACTAGGATTTCAGACCTGAGCCACCAGACCTGGCCTAACAGTTCTTAAATGAGTGTCTGATTTGGTTCCCTAAATTTCAGGGAAGTAATTCAATGCTCTAGAGGGAGGCAGGCATGACATTTATCCTCTTAGGACTGTGGGGTCCACAGCTTGAGCGAGGTGACAAGGGAGAGAAGACACAGACCAGGATTCCGCGTGGGAGGGCCCTGCAGCCTAACTCTGTGGCTCTCAGACCCCGCCCACTGTGACCCTGTGGTCTCCACCCTTCCAGCTGCTGAGCAGGCAGGTAAGGCTGTGACTGGGGGCTCTTCACCACCTTGAGTGTGATGCCACCGCAGTATACATCACTCCTTATCAGATGTCAACTTTACAAATAAGTATTTTATCTTTTTTGCTACCCTGGGAGTTAACAGTAAAATCACCTGACACTTTTTTTTAATCATACAATTGATATTATTGTGGAATTTTTTTAAATTAGGAAAAAACAAGGCATCCGTGGTAAAAACTGGCAATTAAGAATACATCTAAATTCCTCAGATAATACCAAGATCACGTTCTTCGATATGAACCAACACAGTCTCGGGGCAATGCTCACTCAAAATAAACCAACTCATCCCAGATGCTCAAGCCCAGAAGAGAGTAGCCCGGCCTCTGAGGTACCTGAGGTAAGCTGAAGGCCATGCTTCCCGGAACCACAGACGGGTGGGTCCTCAGCGTGAACGTGTACCTGTGATTGGGCGAAGTCCGCACGACCACATGCCTACGAGTCAGAAACGCAGTCAGCGCCCGCATCAAGTACAGAGAGACATGGAGTCAATGCGTTGCTTTCAAACCAATACCAGATGAGAATCGGGTGGGAACAACAGGGCATTCCCAGAGTCTCAAAGGAACAGAACCACAAGCTTCGTTCCCAAAAGCTGCCAGCAATTGAAATGCTGTCCAGACATAAGGGCACCTTGGGCCAGATGCACATCAAGTAGAACACAGCCAAGTTCATCAGAGCACCCGCACTGAAACATCAACTGTGGCACATGTTAGAAAACTTGTGTCCGGGGTTCGAGTCCTCAGCATCAAGGAAAGTCTAGATGTAGCTCCTCTCCTGAGAATTATTTTGCATCCTAACAAAATAAAGGGAGGGAAGCCAAACATGGAAGAGCTAGACTAGAGTATCAAAAAAAAGTTAGCAGCCGGGCTCAGTGGCTCAGCCTGTAATCCCACGCCTTTGGGAGGCTGAGGTGAGTGGATTGCCTGAGCCTGCGGGTTTGAGACCCGACTGGGCAGCGAGACCTCATCTCTACAATAAAAATTAAAAAATCAGCCGGGCGTGGTAGCGCATGCCTGTAATTCTGGCTACTTGGAAGGCTGAGGCAGAAGGATCGCCGGAGCCCAGCAGGTCGAGGCTGTGGTGGCCAGGAGCGGCCACTGCACTCCAGTCTGGGCAACAGAGTGAGACTCCAACTCAAAAAAAAAAAAAAAAAAAAGTTAGCTTGGGCTGAGCATGGTGGATCACGCCTATAATCCCAGAACTTTGGGAGGCCAAGGTGAGAGAATTACCTGAGATCATGGGTTCGAGACCAGCCTGGGCAACTTGGTGAGACCTTATCTCTACGATAAATCAGAAAATTAGCCAGGTGTGGTGGTACATGCCTATAGTTCCAGTCACTTGGAAGAGTGAGGCGAAAGGATCATCTGAGCCCAAAAGGTGCCACTGCACTCCAACTTGGGCAACAGAGTGAGATACCAACTCAAAAAAAAAGTTAGTTTTTAGGACTATTCATTAAATCTCCTTGCAGACTTTCCCAACAGGCTAAAACAACAATCCATAAAACAAAAAAGACAATAAAAATGAAATGTTTCATGGTCAGGTATGGTGACTCCTGCCTGTAATCCCAGCACTGGGGGAGGTCAAGGCAAGAGGACTGCATGAAGCCAGGGGTTCAAGACCAACCTGGGTAACGTGGTGAGAACTCATCTCTACTAAAAAAATCAAAAAGTTAGCTGGGTGTGGTGGTGCATGCCTGTGGTCTCAGTTATTCAGGAGGCTGAGGCAGAAAGACGGTCTGAGCCCAAAAGATCATCTGAGCCCAGAAGGCTGAGGCTGCAGTGAGCTGTGATGGTACCACTGCGCTCCAGCCTGAGCGATGGAGTGAGAACCTGACTGAAAACAGAACAAAAAATTTTTTTCCTCAAATACATCTGCTTTCACGTAGATATCAATATTTATTATTTCAAAGAATACTGTGTCAATTCCCCACTCGAAATTACCCATAAATAAATAAAATATAGCCATCTCATAGTAATCTTTTAAACCAAGTAAATAACAAAGTCTATGTCGAGACAGAAGCTTCAAATTCTGTTACGCAACAGCACTACCTTTGTTTGGTTTTTTTAGAGAGACAGAATCTCACTATGTTACCCAGATTAGCCTTTGAACTCCTAGGATCAAGGGATCCTCCTGCCTCAGTCTCTCAAGTAGCTGGGACTACAGGCCCGTGCCACCACACCCGGCTCACTATCTTTATTTGCATTATCTTCTAGAACACTACAATTTTTTGTATTAATGGCTAATGCTTCCGTACATATTACTTGGACTAGAATACACATTCCTTACATCTACGACACTTTAAGGAACCCCATCATGGGCACAATGAACATCCAATACACGTAGAATTCCACAAGCAAATTCTCACACTGACTCTCCACAGTTCAGTGTATGTGTGCAAAGCCCTGGGTTCAGTTCAGCACCACCGAATGTTCTGCACTGGAGACGGTGCCCGGATGATCAGGCAACGCAACCTCTCACTCCAAAGCCGAAAACCAGAGACGCTTCGCAATTCTGACCCCGTGACACTCGTGTGCTTCGCAGACAGCTTCGCAAAAAGCTCGGTGAACACCCTGCCACCTTGTCGCTCATGCCCCGCAACTCCTGGCACAGCGGCCTCTCCGTGTGTACGTGAAGCTCAGAAGCCACAGATGGCACTGGACTTGTCACGGGTCTTTAGCAGAGCTGGCAGCAGGTGGCGTGAATGAATCACATTAATGACAATAAAAATACACTGAAAGACTACATCTGCTGTGCATCTTCCAGCTCTCGTGTGTCTTGCATTACCACGGTGGTAGTGATCGCAGTAGCTAACACTGAGGGCTTACTGATGTGTGAGGCCCTCTTCTGCACACTTTTGTGTATCACTTGGTCTTCGCAGCTGCTCTGAGGAAGACGTTCCCAGCATCTCCATTTTATAGACCAGGACACAGAGGCACAGAGATAGTAAGTAACTTATCTACAGTCACTCAGGTTATAACTGGCAGAGCCAGAATCCAAACTTGGACAATTTAACTCCTGAGGAAACACCTCATAACTGGGCTGGACATGATCCATACAACCCATGTGTTTAGCTCTGTTGATGAAACTTCTATTTAACAAGCTGTATGTTATTTTTAAAGCATCATACACTGTTATCAAGCACAGCTTGATGTAAGAGTGACTGAACTATGTAACTCTCAATCCTTCATTTTCCAACTTAGCAAGAAGAACTTAAAAAGTCATTCTCCTAAGTTTCCTAAAAATGGCTCTTTAGAAGTTTCTAAAATACCACTTAGTTAAAAGAAAATAAAGTCAGGTACTCACTGGCCAGACTGGAAGTCCTTTTCATTCACAACCGCACAGTTGGTCAAGGATAATTCATCCGTGGGGCACCTCGCGGCCTGCATGCTCTGTAAGAATTAGTGATAAAGTAACATTAAGTCATGCCTTACCACCCGAGCATGCTCTCAACCTTTCTGTCCTCCGTTGCTTCTGACTCCTGAATCCCTCTCTGCAGTCACAGTAAGCCCTCCTCTGGGGAATGGTTTGCTCCCCGTTCCATGTGGTTTTGGGCTGCCCATCACAGCACACGTGCAATCACATGGCCCCTGCCCCACCCAGGGGATTTCACAGGCACAGGTGCTAGAAGAAGGTGCTCCTCGCTGCCAGTCACCACGGGGAGTGAGACCGTCTGCCGTCACTGACCAAGATGACAGAGACCGAGAAACCAGCAGACAACTGGAAATACAGACCAGTAGTCAAGTAAAGTCCTGCAGGCCAGTCCTGAGCACTAGCCGTGAGTCCACACGCTCTTTTGGCTCAAGCTTTTCTGAACTGCTTTTTCACCTCTTCCAAAGAAAGGAATCTTCACTGATAAGAATGCAATGAAGTAAATTCAAGAAATGTGATAAAGTGTATGACCAAGAAGTACCTTCTTATAAGAGACCCCACGTGACTACAGACCATATCTCCTGCAGACTGAGAAAAATCATCCTCCAAATATCTCTCAACAAAAATAACTACAGTGCATATATGTTGGAAAAAAAGCAATCAACAGCCTTTCTGGTAAACAGCTTCAGACAAAGCAAAACATTTCTTCGTATAATATATTTAACCAATAAGCCATCTACTGTTCTCTAGGGTTTCCTAGTGACCCGTGACACTCAGAGTCAGTCTGTTTATGACTGAAGTGTTCACTCTTCAAACCTCAAGCCAAAGCAGATTTTTTTTAAAGAGACAGTGTCTCATTCTGTCCACCCAGTCTGGAATGCAGTGGCGCGATCATAGCTTACTGCTGCCTTGAACTCCTAGGCTCAAGTGATCCTCCCACCTCAGCCTTCTGAGGAGCTAGGACTACAGAGGCCTGGCTAACTTATTTTACCTTCTGTAGAGATGGGGTCTTGCTACATTGCCCAGGCGAGTCTCCAACTCCGGGTCTCAAGCAATCCTCCTGTCTCAGCTTCCCAAAGTGCTGGGATAACAAGCATGAGTCACCATAGCTGATTATTCTTAAATCTGTCTCCCAAACATGAATTTATTAAGGAAAATGATTATTTTTTGCTTTGCTTTTGTTTTAACTAAAAGGCTACTGCTGTTGTTATCATTATCCCCGCTGTTTAGGGCAGTGGTCTCTAAAGTGGATATGTGCACTCAAGGGGTCGAAAGATAATCTTTTGGGGGATGAGAAGAACATATTAGTTCTTCCATTTATATTCATTTCTGACCAACTTTTATTAAGGAGGGACCTCGCCCTAAGCGTCTATGCTGCCTTAAGATACGACCTGATGGCACTAATGGCCAGGCCTTCCACAGCAAGAGACAGACTTCTACAGTTTTCCTACCTATGCTTAAAATCACAGGCCACTCGACGTGGAGCCTCACAAAACTGTATGAAAGTAGTGCTGAAACTGGCAAGATTTCCCTAAGGGAAAAGACAAGAAGCTGGGGACTATGATGAATATGGTTGAAATTATACACAGCAAACAAAACAGTGAAAACAAAATGTGTTCTTTCATTGGGAATACAGGCAAAAACTCTTAGAAAACCCTCAATAGTTAAAGATATGAGCACAAATTACAGTGTGTGAGGTTTGCTATACAGTTGGGTCAAAAAAAGATGTTTCTCTCATCTTAGGGCATTCGTTGAATAATTATGAAATTCACCAAGATCGACAATTCACCAAGACACTAAGGAACAACCCACTGAAAAGGCTAGATCCTTAACTGTAAATGAAACAATGTGCATAATGGAAAACTGCAACCCTTACAGAACGACGGCTTAAGTAATGACTGGAATTAAAAAATAGTAATAATGATTAATATTAAATCAACAAATAATAACACATAATGGCTGGAATAAAAGACGGAATTCCAGAATACAGTTACAAAGATCGCTCCTTATGTGAAAGTCGTCCACTGTCTCATTCACAGGCAAATCTACTGCTACACAGAAGTCAGAACAAAACACCTCAATATGTTACTGAGGCTAGTTTTATCAATACAGAATTTTCCTGCACCCTGCAGAGACAGGAAGTAGACGTCAAAACCTATTTTTGTTAAACTATATAGGGATTCAGTAGGAAGTACTTAAAAGATTTGTTGAACACAGATGAATTACACAATTGTTTTATAAAAAGACTAGTGTTCCCAACTTGCTAAATATTTTAGAAGAGGTTATAAGTAGTATGCTTGCTACCAAGAAGATATTATTATCACTCTGCCGCTATAAAATAAAAATGATTTAACAACATATTAGAATCTTTTTCAGCTTTTCCAAAAAAAAAAAAAAAAACCTTGTTCTAATAAACAGAAGAGCATTTCAAAATTGGGTATTTGGAAACATTGCCATTGCTAAGTAATCCTGCTACTGAAAAAGTATATCTATTACCTAAAAACGAATAAATAAAAACCCCAAAATGCGTATCTTCGTGTTTTCAAATGTCAGAAACAGAACATTCTGATTTTTTAAAAAATCATCCAGGCCGGGTTCGGTAGCTCAGCCTGTAATCCCAGCACTTTGGGAGGCCGACGCGAGTGGACTGCCTGAGCCCGCGAGTTCGAGACCCACCCAGGCAACCTGGCAAGACCTAGTCTCTACAATTAATCAAAAATTAGCCGGGCATGGTAGCATGTGCCTGTAGTTCCAGCTACTTGGAAGGCTGAGGCGGAAGGATCGCCGGAGTCCAGCAGGTCGAGGCTGCAGTGGCCGGGAACGTGCCACCGCACTCCAGTCTGGATGACAGAGTGAGACACCCACTCAAAAAAACCCCCAAAGAACATCCAAATGAATACTTGCAGTGATTGTTTGAGCCGGCTTATTAGCACAATAAAAATTTAATCCAATTTTATTAATCTGCAAGAAAGACTAACAGACGGATGGAAATTTGCCAGCCACATCTCAATAAAGCATTTCCATAAATGGTGACTATGTCTGAGAAAAAAAAGAATATCATGGTTTAGAAAGTGCAGCCAAATTCCCCTATTTTGATCTAGGCTTTGACCACCATTAAAATCACATATCAAAATATCCTAAATTTAGAAATATGCCCTCTGAACAGCTGTGTCACAAATTATTAAACCAAAATTTTAAACAATAAAGAGGCAACACTTTGCTTTCTGCATTCCTAGTAAATAAAATTATGAGAATACTGTACGTGTCATCTTTAGCTCAATCTTTTTATTTTTTTTATCTTTTACTATGTATATAAACTATCAATACTGTATATGATTTATAAATAAACACCGATATATACTGAAGCGACATCATCAAAACCTTTTTACTTATGGGATTCACAAGTAAATCGGATATTTGGAAACCGCTAATCAGCACAAGAGAATACAGTCCAGGTCTGCTTTCTGGATGAGACAGCATTTTGCCCAAGGTCATGGCTTGACCAGTCATCTGATAAAAATGTACTCAGCTTTATTTATTTATTTTTTAAAGTTTTCACCTTCCTAGGGTCTCTCACCTAAAAGCTTTTCTTCTGCATTGTCTCCCCCCAGCCCTGTGCTGCCTGGCCAACCCCAACTCATCCTACAGTTCTCAGCTTGGATGCAACTTTTTCTAGAGGATCTTCCTAGACAACTGCCCTCCCCCCACTAAACTGATACAATAAAGTTACAACAGAAGCCCCTGCATTTGTACCCTCTATCTAAAGGTCTGCACTGCACAAGACAGCAGGTTTCTTCAGGACTGAGGCTGTATCCTGACCATGTCGTGTCTATGCTCCCACGGCTGGTATTGGGTTCCACACAATGAGCATTTACGCCACGTTTGCTGAAGACATGAACTTGGAGATCAACAGACATCTGCCTCAACTGCAGAACAACCCAAAGAACGTGTATACCAAGGGCAACCATCTCAAGGTGATGTAGGAATCCATGCAATTGAGCAGAAATGGCCTGACAGTTCAAAATGACACAGAGCTGATATAGTCAAAATAATTTCAAAAGCTTACAAAATGCTAAGCGAACCTTCTCATTTATAAACAAGTTTATTTATCAAGTGTCCTTCCAAGGAGTGAAGAAATCTAGAGAAGTCATCTTGCTAGCCAACTAAGCAGATGCTGGGAGAAGGTTTCCCAGCTGGAGTCAAGGAGCACCTGAGTTTATGGCAAGCCAAGCAGGGCAGTTCGTTTTTTCAGCAAAGTTGAAGGCTCGATAAAAAAATAGCTGTCCACTCACACAGTAACACCAAGGGGAAATTCCACAATATTGATAAAACAACAATAAAAGTCAACCACCACAGTCAACAGCTATTATGAAATGAAACTACAAAATTGATAACCCGCTTCATAGAGGTTTAGTTGTCAGTTTCACTAGAACATCCAACTGACTGGTATAGAAATGCTTCCATTATAACAACATGAAACATCAACAACTGCTAAAGAATGAAAACTGCAACAAATCTTTAAGGGAAACTTTAGTGAAAGTAACTATATTATTACTTATTTGAGAGCCTTTCAAGTGTAGAAAGATAATTTGCTTCTCTTCATCAAAAACAAACAAACAGGCTGGGCACAGTGGCTCAAGCCTGAAATCCCAGCACTTTGGAAGGCCAAGGCGAGAGGACTGCCTGAGCCTGTGGGTTCAAGACCAGCCTGGGCAACAGGTTGAGATCTCATCTCTACAGTAAATCAAAAAATTAGTCAGGCGTGGAAGCGCATGCCTGTAGTTCTGGCTACTTGGAAGGCTGAGGTGAAAGGATCGCCTGAGCCCAGCAGGTCAACGCTGGCCATGAGCGTGGCACTGCACTACAGCCTGAGCGACGGAGACTCCAACTCAAATAAATAAGTAAACAAACAAAAAACAAATGGAGAATTTAACCAGAACTCTTCTGAACAACACTGCACAGTTTTAGAATTTAAAGAACACTTTTGCCAAAGGTCTACTTTAAAAATGGATGAAAACAT